GGAGCTGGCCTTGAAGAACCACGCCAACCTCGCAGATTTGGAGCTCTCCTTCTTCACTCACACGTGGAAGAAAACGTGCGAGATGATCGGCTGCAATGTGGAGTCGTTTACTGACATCCTGGATGCCTCCATCGGTCACACTGCTGAGTTGGTGGATGTGCAGGCTTCCTGGCATGCTGTGAAGACGCATCACCGCTCGTTCGTGCAGCTGAAGACTTCAGTTTTTGGTGCCATGAACGGCAGCACCGCTTTCCACGAGAACTTTGCCAGCTTTATCTACCGGCCGGGCAAGTCCAAGGGCCAGCGACGGACAGACCCCATGTTCAAGGAGGCCAGCGACGTGCTCTCCACGGCTCTTGCCCTCAAGCAGCGCAACAACGAGGATGGCAAACCTATCGCCAAGAGCGGCTGGTGGTGCTGGAGCTGGCGAGTCACCGCCACCGGGGGCTATGCTAAGAAATTCCCGGATAAAACATCCACATGGGGTGTCGCTACTGGCTTCAAGCTGCTGTCGGGCTCGACCCTGGACTTGGCAACGCTCATGAGCCAGAATGATCCGGGCTATAACTTCAAGACCTCTGTTGCCCTTACCATCGGCTATGTGCCGGACATGCCAGGGGTTGCAGGAGTCCGTGCCGGTGTTTCCGTCGGGGGAACGCTCTCGCTGGGACCTGGCAAAATCGAGATCAAGATCACCCTTGGCTTGGGCATGTCTGCAGCCGTGGATGCCAAGTGGACCAACAACATGCTCTGCGGTGGGCCCGAGGTCATTGGTGTCGCTCCCTGGGACTTCAAGTGCCGTGGTAGTGTAGCGGCTGCTTTTACACTGTTCTGCAAGAAGCTGAACTTCTTGGATGGCAGCAACGGTGCTACAATGGATGATCCCTGCTCTACTTGGAACAAGTTCTACAAGCAGAACAACGGAGATGCAGACATGCCCGGCCAAGGCAGGTCGCATGAGAAGAATGCAGACGCGTGCAGAGAGCGCTGCAAGACCGTACGCGGCTGCCAGCACTACTCCTTCTGGAAGGACGGTCCCCAGACCCTAAACCTTAAGCACAAAGCCCTAAGCCTGCACCCTAAACCTACACCCTACACCCTCACCTTAAATCCCTTCTGGAAGGACGGGGGCTGCCACCTCCAGAACTGGGACTCGCACAGGAAATGGAAGCGTAACTCCGGCATCATGACAGGACCTCCTGTTTGCTGCGCCAGGCCCTCCAGCTCAATCAAGAAGGACATGTCGGGGCAGGGAAGGAGTGGCGAAGCAGAGTACATGGGCTGCTGGAATCGTTGCAAACGCGTGACTAGGTTCCCCAGTAGTACCCTTTTGCGCTTCTCCAATGCTGTTCCTTTATTCATGCCAAATAGTAGGAAAGGAGGTTTCTTTAAACCTTAAAACCTCGGTACCCTCATTAAGGGGCTACTGGGGAACCCAGGTGAAAGGCTGCCGATATTTCACCTACTACGGGAAGGACGGCGGCTGTCATCTCGGAGACCGGAACGTCGGCATCGACCACAACAGTGGCCAGGGCGGCCGAATCGTCACTGCTGATGCATCTTTGCCATAGTGGGGGTAGCAGGGTTTCGGGTTAAGGGCTCACATTTGTATGGGTACGTAAACTCAAGAAGGAGTAGAAGTTTACACGGTGAATTGCTATCCCGACCATGACCTAGGCATATTGCATGGACGAAACCCTGAAGCAACACAATGTGGTCGGCTTGTTCAACAAGGAGCACAAACGGTTCATCCGTGTGACCGGCGACCGCCACGTTGATGCCAGCGGTCGCCGCAACGATGGAACGCTTCCAGGAGATTGGGAGTGGGAGAAGTTCACAGTCGTGGAGGCCAATTGGGGACAAGTAGGCCTCTACTGCACCCATTTGAACCGATTCTTGATGATGAAGGACGACGGTTCGATGGGGGTCAGCGAGTGGAGGAAGGTCGACCAGCTGTGGGACGGAGACTCGTGGATGTTGTTCCGACCAGTGGAAGCTGGCGATGGATACTTCGCTTTCCACAACGAAGCGCACAACCGCTACATTCGGATGAACCCCGACAGGGTGGTTGATGCAAGCAACCCGAAGGGTCGTGACGACCTTCCCGACTGGTGGGGTCAGGAGCGCTACAAAATTGTGGACGTCTGAGGTTTACGCACGAGGTCTGATCTTCCAGGAGTTTTCAAAGCCTCGCCGCCAATAGTTGGAGGATCGTGAGGACAAGTCCGCGACCTGGAAGAGAGAACGTTTGCAGCTTCATTGGAGTGTCCGATGCGAGTTCGCAGACTTAACAGTCCTTTCAGAGATAGTCGGTGTTGGCAGGTTGCATTGACTGCAGACATCCCGGCGTTGCTGGCCCAGATTTCTGCAAAGCGAGCAGGCCGGCAGCCTGTTGCATCTTGCTGCATGTGTTCGTATCTGTTCGTATCTGTCTTGACATATGAGGTGCTTGATGGTACTTGTTGTCAGCTGAGCAGCCCCCGTGAAGTCCTTCCCCTGACTTGTCACCTCCGCCAGGATTCGAAGCTCAGATCTCCTCCCTAAACTCTAAACCCTAAACCACGCAACTCTGTAAGCCTTTGACCAGCATCAAGCCTCACCCGAGTTGCTTCGCAAAGCTCAGCTGGCATTGAAGTCAGGGCTTAATGACAGCGTGGCAACGCTGAAAGCTGCCATTACGATATATGATAACGGTTGACTTTACTATAATGTGGTTGTACTATGATGTACTATAACCGACTACAGTAGATGGTCGCTGAGTATCGCAACTTCCGCCAAGGCAGTGTCGGTTTAGGGCGTCCTTATCGCAACTTGTGCAGGCTTTCTCGAAGCAGTGCCACCTTGTGGCCTTCTGTGGCCTTGCTGTTCGAAAGACCCGGGCTTGGTGTCAATGAGAGAGGGCCCCTGCAGTGTTGGCCCTAGGCCATATTCGGAGCAATGCTGCTAGGAATGATACTAAGAAGGAGTGCCTTTCGAGCCTTTCGAGTGCCATAGCTTCGGCTGCAATGATTGTGATGGTTCCAAGGCCTGTTCATTTCTGTCGGTTGTGGGGGTGGGCTCGGGAGTCAGCTCTGCAAGCTTGGGACGCCCGTGATAGCATCTTGACGCAGTTGTCAAGTCCTGAGCTCCAGTCGTTTGGCAGATCACGCATCACCTGTGAGACTGGGTGCTTTTTATCAGCCTTCTTATCTCATTCCTGGCATGGAAGGAATTATCCTGCAAAAGCGTACTGGTGATCCTGATCTCGCTTCATTTTTCTCTCCATTGGAGTTGTCATCACTCTTGTCCTATCGCCATTGGCATCAGGACTGTCAGTGCTACTCTCATGATTACCAGCATCGTCATCATCCATGATTTTGGCCATCAGCAGCATCGCTACAGCCGTCCTCGCTATCGTTCTTATTGAAAACGCTGTCATTTCCCTCATTGTCGCTGTAGTCGTTGCAGTCATCGTTCTGCTCATTCTGATTGTTTCGCCGCATGAATCACGGCCTTTCTCGCCATTGCCGCTGCGGTGAAGGTTGCCAGCATCATCAGCACAATCATTGCAATCCACGTTGTCATCGGTACCATAGCCGCCGTCAGCAGCATCATCACCATCGTGGAAAACTCGGCCCCCATCTTCTCACTAACATTATGATTGCCACATCCCTGTCCAGCGTCATCATCTTCATGATCCTTGGTACCGTCGTCACGTTCTATGCCTCCAGTTGTCTCAACACATTCATTGCCATCCACACTGTCACTTGTAGAATGGGCCTCGCCCAAGGATGTCCACCCGCCCAATCCAGGATCTTTTGAAGATCCGAGTTTGAGAAACGTTCCTTCAACGATGCTACTATGATGATGTTGGCATCGTCTTTGGGGCAGTTTTTCAAACACAGACACACACACACACATACCCCTGCTTGCAATCTACTGAAAAGGCTTGTTTCATGTTGCGCTGGGGTTCGGGTCCCAACAGGGATCAATGGGTTGCATGGTGTATTTGTGATCATTGATTCAGTTGACCTTGCATTCATTTTTACGTGAGCATGTGAATGGCATGTCAACATACCGCAAGCGTCCTTTCAATTTAGAGAAGGACCAGAGAAGCCGAGGAAGGCGGAAGGAGGAGAGCGCAAAAGTTCTGGGAAGCCCGGGGCCAGGTATGACATAATCGAGATATGAGGTGTGGAGTGCTTCCTAAACTCTCAACCCGCCGGATCCGTGTCTCGGCCGTTTGAGAGAGCAGCGCCCTGTGCGTGACATGAAGGGAGTTAGTTAGCATGTGCAAGTTGGCTCCCTAACTGGCTTCAGCCAGCCACGTCCGATGTCTCACAGAGGATGCGAAAGACATGACGGTGATTTTGCCAGAAGTAAATTCAAGCCATCTTCGTCACGATTACAAGAAGGAAGACCCAAGGATGAGCGTGGTAGCTTCGGATAAGAGCTTCAAGACAGACCTGGTATGAGTCAATGAAAGGTCTACTCCGGGAAAATTAGTGAAGATTGTCAGCAATACTGAATGTCCGATGTCAAAACAAAGTGTCCGTGTTGTTCATAAGTTTGTCGAAGTGCAGCCAAAAAAAGATGTGGACGTACGAGGACTTTCCACGCGGACGCATGGCTTGTGGGATGGCAATATTTTCGAAGCCAGGAAGAGGAGGAGCTGGAGGAGCTATTGCAGCGAGGTGTGCAGGACAGAGAAGAGTTCAAACTCAGAGCCGTTCAGCAGGATCGCAACGATTGGAGAGGGACTTGTGTCACAGACAGGATTCCGCATTGTGGCAAAGATCGCTGCCCAAGGTTTCGATCTTCAGGAATTTGAGGAATTTGTCGTTGTTGTTGTTGTCAAGATGTAACACTTCTGGCACACTTCCCTGGTACAGTCTTGCAGCTGTGACCTGCACTTCCACACTTCGCG